TTTCACATGTTACTGTTTACATGTGTGTGTTTAACATCTTACTGTTTACATGTGTGTGTTTAACATCTTACTGTTTACATGTGTGTGTTTAACATCTTACTGTTTACATGTGTGTGTTTCACATGTTTCTCTCTACATGTGTGTGTTTCACATGTTTCTGACTACATGTGTGTGTTTAACATGTTTCTGACTACATGTGTGTGTTTAACATGTTTCTGACTACATGTGTGTGTTTCACATGTTTCTGACAACGTGTGTGTGTTTCACATGTTTCTGACAACATGTGTGTTTCACATGTTACTGTTTACATGTGTGTGTTTAACATGTTTCTGACAACGTGTGTGTTTAACATGTTTCTGACTACATGTGTGTGTTTAACATGTTTCTGACAACATGTGTGTGTTTAACATGTTACTCTGTCTGCATGTGTGTGTTTCACATTTTTCTGTCTACATGTGTGTTTAACATGTTACTGTCTGCATGTGTGTGTTTAACATGTTACTGTTTACATGTGTGTTTACATGTTTGTGTCTACTTGTGTGTTTCATGTTACTCTGTCTGCAAGTGTGTTTAACATGTTACTCTGTACATGTGTTTGTGTGTATGTGTGTGTGTGTGTTTAACATGATACTCTGTTTGCCTGTGTGATTGTTGTGTTTCTGTCTACATGTGTGTGTTTAACAGGTTTCTCTATGCATGTGTGTTTACATGTTTTTGTCTACATGTCTACGTGTGTGTTTACATGTTTCCAGGCACGGCCAGTCTAGCCCCACCTAAAACAAAACTATTTCACTCCACAAAGTAGTTCCTCCTCATAAACAATGTAAACCTGGTTATTGACTTAGCTTGTCATGTATTGTTTTTTCTGTGTTTTTCAATTATTTAGACAATTTTAAATTGAATTTGAAATGTTTTTCAGTGATTCCGTTTTAATTTTTTTACTTATTTACAATCACAGGGTGGTACAGCTCGACGCCCTGCATTTGTCAGTGGATTTATCATGTTAATATATAATGTTTACTCTCCATCAGCAATAATAAGTACCATCAGCTCCTCTGAATAGTCATTGGGGTGTTAAAAATTACGCCCTATAGACACTTTATGTTGGTTTTTGCGCATTGATATGAACAATAACGTGAGCTCATAAAAAGCAGAAATTGTGTTCAGCAAAACTTGTGTCGAGCATAGGAGGAGATATGCTGTTTAAAAATGTATTTGGAGCAAACAGCCAACTTGAACTGAACGACAAAAACTACTGACATAAAAGGAAAAAAAAACAGGACTTATTTTGCCAAGAAGGTAGGACATTTGTACCCTAAAATGTGGCAACTGTATTACTGTGTTTGTGCTAATATAAAGCTGCAGTCATGAAGTCATCTGTCAGGGAGTTATTCTGGAGTGTTACTGCAGAATTATTACTCAAAATTTATTTAGAAAATTGAATGCAGAAATCTGTGTAGCTACCTTTCTGATTCATTCCACTCACAATTAGCTAAAATACAAAATATGTTCAGGTGGGAGCAGGAGGCGTTTCTCTGGATTAGACTGGATTTTAAACATTTTTTCCCCCCGAGATAAAACCTGTGGGGAGGGAGAAAAATGACGACAACTTTGTGTACAAATAACTGATTAATTAAGTAACATAGCCTATATAACCTTTTCAGAGAAAACAGGTATGTTATATATTTCTGTCTACATATATACATGTGTTTGTTTGATGTGTTTCTGTCCACATGTGTGAAGTTCTTTTTTGCAGCAGGTAGTCGTTTTGTTCTCTTCAGATAAGTTAAAATAAAATGAGCCTAATTTATTAGTTTATACAAAGCAAGATAGAAGTGGAGTTTATTCCCACGGCGTTCAGAAATGTGTGGTTTGCAGCTGATTCTTTCATTAGCTAATGCTGCAACCGTATTATCGCAGCGGATTAGTGCGGTCCACTGGGGCCGAGTTAAGACAGAACCCAAAAAATATAAATCATATTACAGCAGTGTAATCCCTCCTGCCTGTTCATTGCATGAAAAAGATTTCTCTTTATTTCACGAGGGCAAACCTTGTGCTACTCCCTCAGGATTATCTTATTATGCAGGATAACGCAGAGTTCTGTCACGGTGGACAGGCTGGATCCTCATGACGGTGGCTAACAAATCCTTTTAGTCAAATCAATGCGTAGGAGTGACCCGACAAATGTGACAAAGGCAGCATACAGCTGCTGTCCGCTTATTAAACCATGGAGACATGAAATGCTCAATCTAATGACCGGGCCTTTCACCATGATCAAAATCAAAGCTGCAATCATCAATTCTTCTGTCAGAACCACTGATTCTGTACGAGTGAAATGGGTTTTAAAACTTGTGTTTTTAAAGATGAAACACTACATTAGTTAGTTTTTATTATAAAGCTGTTTGTGTGCAATATAATAAAGTTTAAAGTACCTATGACATCATTTTTATAATAAAAAATAAATGCATTTTTTGAAAAGACAACACTGATAACATGATACCTGTGTGATCTCATTAACATCCACACTTCAGTCATCCAACCAGTTTCTCTTAGATGTTCCTAGATCCAGGCTAAAGTTTAGAGGTGATTGGACCTTTGCGGTTTCTGCCCCAAACCTTTGGACTAGTTTACCTCTTAGCATTGGACTGTTGAGACTTTTAAATCTCTGCTTAAAACTCATTTTTACTCCCTGGCCTTTCATTCTGGTAGAGTTTGAGATTCTTTTAAAGCTAATGTTTTTAATGTTTTTAATGTTCCTTTTCTCTATTTTAAATGTTCTGTGTTGCTTTGATGTTTTGTTCATTTGGCTGAATTGTGAAGCACTTTGTTGTTTTTATGTGCTGTATAAATAAATTGACATTGACATGTTGCAAAAAAATCCACGCTGAACAGTTGTTCAGATATTTGCTTGTGAAGAAACAGGAAGTGATGTCATAGGGGAATGTCTGCATGTAAACAAGGCATTAAAAAAATGGCTGACAACACAGACAGTCGAGAAGAATCTGATGTTTCTTTAAATTATTTTGAGTCAGGAAGAAATGAAAAGAGCTAAATCTCAAATAATTTTGTTTCAATAAACAAAAACCAGGGAGTTCCTTTTCTTAAAGAGTTCCCCTCTGATGTCACTTCCTGTTTCACTTTGGCTGAGCCAAGCTCAGAGAAAAATATGTCAGTTATATGATAAAAAGGGTAAAATCATGTGTATTACAACAAGTTTCTTAAATACAAGTGTTTTCTTTGACTTCTTGTATTTGAAGGAATGCATGACACAGGAACTTTAAACCAACGAGAATATTTTTTTACCACTAAAAGGCTGACAAAACTGCTCAAAAACCAGAGAGTCAGGGGAAAAATAAAGAAAAGTCAATCCTCTTTTTATGTATCAGCAGTTAATCAACCTTCTAAAACGATCTGAATCTAGAAAAATATCAAAAACACATCATATTCCACTGAATAATTACTTATTAAGCAGACACAAAAGGCTAAATCAGCGACTGAAAACCTGGATCTGCTGCTTCAACAGGACCACCTGTACCTGCAGCTACAGGTGTGTTTTAGCACACTGCCAAGGTGGAAAGACAACAGCAATGACCTTAGAGAAGCTGCTCATCAATCTGGGAAAAGGTCAAAGGTCATTTAGAGTCCATCGTTCTACAGAGAGAAAGATTATTGGGGAACATTTAAAGTTCCTGTGACGAGCCTATCCTTCAAATACAAAAAGTCAAAGAAAATATCTTCATATTTAGGAAAATTGGCATAAAACACATGATTTAACCCATTTTGTCACATAACTGGTATATTTTCCTTTGAATTTGGCTCATCTAATGTGAAACAGGAAGTGACATCAAAGGGAAACTCTTTAACAAAGAAAACTCTCTGGTCTTTGTTTTTATTAAAACATTTTTTGAACTCTAACTTGTCTTCATCTCCCTCTTTTAGGGACTAAAATTATCTAAACCAACATCAGAACATTCCCTGCCATCTGCGTTGTTAGCCGTTGTAGCAAAGCTCTGTTCACATGCAGACATTCCCCTTTGACATCACTTCCTGTTACTTCACATGCAAATATCTTAACAACTGTTCAACTCAGTGGTGGGAAATTGTTTTTGCAATACGTTATCCATGTTATCTTTCCAAAAATGCAATCACATTTATCACAAAAATTTGATTTCACAGGCACTTTAACATAGCTGCCAAATCACCCCAAAGGTCAGACCGTGCAATGCTCTGAGAAATGAGCTCCATCTCAGACTCTACTGGTCTCGGTTAGCAAAATCTCTTCTGTCTAAAAGCAACATGACAAACAGACCTAAAGCTAAAACTGTCCGGTGCACCTCGACCTCTCTGAGACCCAGAATCAGGGGTTTCAAACAGACCTGGAACTGGAGGTGCAGAGTAAAAACTGAGCCTCTGATTGGATCTGTGACGTGTACGCTCGTAAAAACAGAGCTAACAGTCCACAGTTTCTGACAGCCTCTCCAGGGAGACTCCGGAAGTGTTGCTTTGGGACGAGGAGTGCCAGAAATAGAGGAGTAACAAATAAAAAAATTAAAAACACCTGACTCCACTCTCACCTGCACACAGCTGGCTTGTGATGGTGTGAAACAAGTGCAATCTGACTACGTTAACCCCTCAACATTCTGCCTGCCGGCTAACAGGCTGCAAAGTTCTGCAGCTCCGGATCAAAATCGTAACTAACGACACACTAATCTGTCAGGTTTCAGTCATCCTGCTTTCTGTCAGACATCTGTCTGTAATTAGAACGGTTCCTCTGGTGGGAAATCTTAGACTCAAAAACCATAAACAGGTTTTTTTAAACACATATCAGGTTTATCATCAACCTAAATGGGCTCCAAGGAACCAAATCTACAAACAAATGACGAGCTGAGACGAGCAAATCTCCAGAAGCAGAGAGAGAATTAACAGATATCTTATTGTGAAAGGATTACTTCCTGTACAAAGAGGAAGTTGATGCCTGGACGGGAGAACAGAGTTCTTACCGGGTTGCCTTTGCTCGGCGTAAGGCTCAGATCCAGGCGCTCCGGGGTGATGGGGGTGGACCTCAGAGGTGGGGAGAGGGTGAGGTCCCGTCGTAGAGGACGGGATTCCACTTTCTCCCCCGACCTGTCCAGTTTGTGCACCGAGTCCTTGCCCCCCTCCCTGGCATCCCGGTTCTTATGCCTCTGCCTCTGCATGCTGTGGGAACGGCCCTCTCCGTGCGTCTCCTCCCCGTGCCCATGGGGCTTGTGGGTAGTGGAGTCTCTGGGCTGTAAAGGCTTCATCTCCATCTCGTAGTTACTAATTTTCTCCTCGTCCTGCTCCAGCAGCCGGCCCCCCCTGCCGTGGACGCCCCTGTGCCCGGACGTCCACGTGGCAGACGAGGACGACTCCGTCCACCTGTCCCCTCTGGGCTGTCTGTGATTGGAGGAGCCGTGCTCCCGCGATTTGTGATTGGAGGAGCTGTGTTTGTGTCCGTTGGTGCGCCCGCTGACTCCGCCCCTTCCTTTGGACAACATGCCCCTCCTCCTGTCCTCGCTCCAGCTGTTGACCCGTGGACCCTCCTCTTTTACTCCCCCCTCGCCTCCTCCCTCCATCAGCACCTGGATCTCCGTCTCCCCTCCTCCTCCGCCTTTCTCGCTCCTCTCTCCCCCCTCCTTCCCCCGGTCTCCGTGGTCCACGGCGCTCTGCCGGTGGAAACGGGCGCTCTTGCTGCGCTGCGACGGCCGGGCGGGGGGAGGCGGAGTGTGAGGGGGCGAGGAGGAGGGGGGGCTGAGGTCTGGGGTGGCAGCATCGTTGGAAGGGTCATCAGAACCTGCACTCTTCATGTAGAGATCCGGGCTTTCTGCCGTGCCGGCGCTGCTCGATAAGCCTTCGCACTCCGCTTCACTGGACACCTGATGTTTGGGGCGCTGCACCTCCATGCCTGCAGGAACACCAGAAAATACATCAGCTTCACAAGGAGGGGAAGAAAACTTGGTCAAGATTGATGGCAGCACTAACGCTAATGCTAACGCTAAAATAATTAAATATTTACAATAAAACCCCACGGAGGCATTTCTTTCAAAAATGTTCAGATTTTTTAAAAATAAAGGTGCTGCTAAATGTTAGCGCTGATGTTTGCCGACATAAATGCTTTTTTTTTTGCGTAGCAACACCGAGAGCAAAAAAAAAAAGATAAAAGAGGAATCGGTGTGTGTGGAAGTGAACAGCACATGTCCTGAAGTCAGCGTGTGGCATGTTCCTACACCTCCACTTCCTGCAGAGCTCCACAGGTGTGAGTGACAGACACAGAAACACAAAGCTGAAGAGGGGCTGACAGTGACCTTTATCATCAACGCCTTCAACACGCACGTACACACATACACACACAACAACACACACAAACACCCACACACATACATTCTTGTACTTGAATCAAACTGTGGACTTTGTATTGACTTCCCTTCATTTTTGTATGTATTTATGCCAAGTGATGCACAATATATCGGCATTAATATCTGTATCGGCCCGATATTTAAAACTGGGTCGATATTAACATCTGATATTGATTTCCCACTTTTTAGCTTTGTGTTTCTGTTTTGGGAGGAGAGATGGTTGGTTGAGCAGCATTGACCATGATAGTGATGTTGATGCTGCACAGCCAGGAATAACTAAAGTAGAGCCATGTCAGAGGTCTGGTTGTTTATTTACGATATCAGAAAAAAATCCAAGTGTGTTTGTGCATGTATGTATAATATAATTTGTGTGTTTGTGCATATATGTGCAATATAATTTGTGTGTTTGTGCGTATATGTATAAAATAATTTGTATGTTTGTGTAATATTTGGTAAATAATGGTTATCAGCCATAACAGAAATGAAATTTCATATTGGTGCATCCCTATTTATGCTTAACTCAGACATTTTCCCTAAAATTAACCATTACTGTTCTATAGCTAACCCTAACCATTACTGGTCTAAAGCTAACCCTAATCATTACTGTTCTATAGCTAACCCTAATCATTACTGGTCTATAGCTAACCCTAACCATTACTGGTCTATAGCTAGCTGTAACCATTAATGGTCTATAGCTAACCCTAACCTTTACTGGTCTATAGCTAACCCTAARCATTACTGGWCTATAGCTAYCCCTAARCATTACTGGTCTATAGCTAACCCTAACCATTACTGGTCTATAGCTAACCCTAACCATTACTGGTCTATAGCTAACKCTAACCATTACTGGTCTATAGCTAACKCTAACCATTACTGGTCTATAGCTAACCCTAACCATTACTGGTCTATAGCTAACCCTAAACATTACTGGTCTACAGCTAACCCAAACCGTTACCGGTCTATAGTTAAACTAGCCTGGTAAAAACCAGACTCTTTTCCTTCACTTTGCTTCGTACGAGGGTCTGGACCCACAGCTATGGTAAATGGTAAATGGTCTGTACTTATATGGCGCCTTTCTGTCCATCTAGGACACTCAAAGTGCTTCACACTACAGACATTCACCCATGCACACACACATTCACACACTGATGATGGCAAGCTAAATTGTAGCCACAGCTGCCCTGGGGCACACTGACAGAGGCGAGGCTGCCATACACAGGCGCCACCGGACCCTCTGACCACCATCAGTAGGCAAGGCGGGTAAGGTGTCTTGCCCAAGGACACAACGACTGAGTCGACTGGATGGGGATCGAAACGGCAACCTTCCAGTTTCAGGACAACTCCCCTAACCACTCTACTACAGCCGACCCAAATATAAAGGAAGTGATTCTTGCTGGAGGCGTGGCCTCTGCTGAAGTTTAAAATGATTGGATCTGTTTGCTGCGACATATGTCACTGTGAAGGAGGCTAAGCTAAGAAGCTAACCAGAAATCGCGTGTGCTGTAAACAACCCTACTGAGAGGAGAAAAGTACAGAGCTAAATGAGACGACTGTAAATGAGAGTTGCTGCTTTGTCAGACAAATTTAATTTAATTTGGAAGCCTTATCAACACAGACTGGCTTCATTCACTTACTCCACTACCGTATGCTAAAATAACTAACAGACACTGCGCAGAAAGTCGACGTTCTGTTCTCTGATTGGCCCAGATGAAAAATTTCCCGAAGAAATCCTTGTCTATGGGACGAGTCCCAGCAGTGAAGCAAAACTAGAATTGAGTGCAACTGTAGGAAGGCAAGGGCCAGGCTATAACTAACCCCGACCTGAACCAGAACCTAATTCACACCATACCTCTAAACCCATCTAGTAAAGCACAGCAGAGCTGCAAACAAAGTGAGGACAATGAAGACGACTGTCCTCATTCTGCAGCAAAAACAAGCACGCTTGCACGCAAGCACGCATGCACGCAAGCACCCACGCACACGCACGCACACACACACACACACACACACACACACATACACACACACACAGAGTGACATATATACATGCAAATACACAAATAGAAGCACATGTATGTGTTGTGTTTGGTTGACTGTTTTTAGAACTCTGTGTGTGTGTGTGTGTGTGTGTGTGTGTGTGTGTGTGTGTGTGTGTGTGTGTGTGTGTG